TTTTATTTTCAAAAAGATAAAACCCTCATTCAGTCTTCCAGGAAGCAGGTTATAGAGAAAACGAGAACCTTTTCCTGATCATACTTAAGTATGTGAGTCATGATTAACTTTTTCGTGTCCTGCCATCTGATAGAAATATAATGTGAGTTGCACATTCAATTTTTTCTAGTAGTAACATTTTTAAAAAGCAGAGAAGAGATAAAAACACCCAAGAAAGTTCAAAAACAACAGAAAGGCAAAAACAAACAGGTGAAATGAATTTTAGAAATATAATTTATAGAACCCAATATATTCAAAATACTGCCATTGCAACATGTGATCAATATAAGAGTTATTAAGGAGATACCCGACTTTGCATTTCCGCACTAAGTCTTCAGAATCCAGTGCGTATTCTGTGTTTACAGCTCATCTGCATTTGGACCAGCCTGATTTCAAGGGCCCGGTAGCTACAGAAGCCATTGGCTACCATAATCGGGCAACAGAGCTCTGGAGTGTACAGTGGCGTAGGTCAATTATTCCTCGCTTTGTTTCATGTTCAACTAGAATTTATATACTATGAGTTTGGGATACTTAGTGAACAAAGGAACCCCTACCTCCCACCAAACTGGCCTTCAAAGCCCCTCCGTTACAGTTAGGGTGACCTATAATCCATGGTCCAAACTGAGACACTTTTCCGAGTGAAAGGTGCTGGCTCCCAGGCGTACTGGGGCTTATCGACCCAGCTTTGGAAAATGTCAACACATCTATTTATCCCATATGGAACACCAATATCATCTGCCATAACTAGGTTAGCAAAATTAGAGCCTGTGAAAATAAGATAATGGCAGTGCTCTGAACTTCCAGCTTTCCAGAAAATGGATCTATGGTTGAAACGAAGAATAGTGGTTGCGCCTGGGACGCTGTGGTGGGGACTGAAGGGGAAGGGGCCTGAAGCCACTGCTGAGCCATGGCGAAGCTCGGAACAAGGCCGAGATGGGTGACTCTGGTGTACGCCCCTGACTCAGGGAATGCGCACTTAGCATTTGTATGTATGTACAGAGCCATACACAAATATTGAACTCAAGTTAATGACATGCATGCTGAGGTGTTTAGGGGTGAAGTGGACTTAACGTCTTCCACTTCATTTCCAATCCTCCCCCCAAGCTTTATTGAGACAGGATTAACATAGAACACTGCATACGTTTAAGGTGCACAAGTGTTGATTCGATACACTTAAGTTCTGGGAGATGATTACTGCCGTAGTGTTAGCTCACACCTCCATCACGTCACATAATCATCATTTATATTTTGCGGTGAGGACATTGAAGAACTGCTCTCTTCGTGATTTTCAGCGATATCACACAGCATTGTCAACTATAACCACTGTGTGTATGAACCTGAGATCCCCCCAAATCCTCAACTTTCTTTGAAATGCATCAGAAAAGTAAAATGATGGGGGTGTGGATAAAGAGATGGCTAAGTAATAAAAGAGGATTAATAGTGGCTCTAGGTGGTGGGGATATGGGTATTGTTTGTATTATTCTTTCCATTTTTCTAAATGTTCAAAAACTTTCATAACACAATGTGGGGAAGAAAATTCTAACCAGATCCTTCGAAAGGCAATGTTATGAACTGTTTTTAAGGGAGATAGGAATTAGAAAATTGTTCAGAAGATGTGAATGAGAGAGAGTAAGCCTCTCTCTTTGACAGTTTGTGGATAAAATGAGAGTTCCCATGGCCAGGATTCTCACCTGGCCCTGGTTGGCTAGCTCACTACACATGTGTGGGCAATAGGTTGCTATTGACTCTATATAAAGAGCTCTGCTCAGTGTTCTGCGTGACACGGTGACACGGTTGCGAGGCTGCAGGAGAGCAGAGCAGAGGCTGGAGTGGTGGCAGCGCTGAGGTCAGAGGCCTAGAGCATGTCTGCAGGACAGCTGTGCAGGCAGAGAGGCCCAGGGGCAGAGACCGGCTTGCTGCATGCAGACTGGCCCTGAGTGAATTGCATTTTAGTGACTGACCTGCTACCATGGAAATAAAGTTGGGTCTAACCCTTTCACCCCAAGAACGTCCTACTGTCACTTCTTTGGTCACACGCAGTCCATAGTGAACTTGCTGGGGGCTGAAATCCATTGGCAAGATGCAGGTAATGAAGGATTTCAAGAACTGAAAAAAGGTAGGACTTTCTCAGTGTGTGGCTCACTGTTCTTTAATGCACCACCGCCTAAAATCATCACCCATGTCATTCGTCCTGGAATGTGGATGTCTTGTCTCCAGGACTCACATTTGAGAAAAACAGTCTGTGCCTGTGCTCTGAGACCCAGCAATGTCCTCTTAATCCTCAAGCTTTGCTGAGGGCTCATGTGCCCGACCCGTCCCTTCTCCCGCCACCACCACCTCCTAACACAGCATTTCCTGCTCCTCTGGCCCCAGGAGCAGCACGAACTAAATGAGAGCCTGGATGGGACTCCAGCGCTGTCCCACCCCGGAGCTCACTGTATCTCCTAGCCACATGACTCTCCTGGGTGGTCGGCCAAGTCCACTAGAGCTCCATAGCCTTGATTCCTGCATCTCGAAAGTGGGAATGGTTCTGGTACCCGCCCTACCTGCTGTTCTCCTGGGGGTGTGAGGAGTTGGGGTAGTTTGATGCAAAAAGCACTATGAACAGTGCTGACTCGTAGTGAGCCCTCAGAGGAACACTGGCCATCATTACTAATACTAGTATTATTTTTGTTACTATGAGACATGCAGTAGGGGGCTGAGAGGGGAACAGGAGCTGGCCAGGAGACAAGGCTTCACAGCCCACGTGGCTTTTGCACTAGTTTTCAAAGGATGACATTTCTACAAAGCGGACTAGGAAGATGGCATTCCAGGAGTGAGCGGCGTGAGAAACCTGGTGGTCTTGAGGGGAAGGACAGCTCACACCTGGGGAACCAGTTCAGACCCCACTGGCTGCTGGCTGGCAGGAAGCTGGGGTGGTGAATGAGGGTGTGCAGGGAGGGGTTTGGGCCAAATGTGCCAGGCTTCGAGCCAACTGCCCAGGAGTGTGCTGATAAACCTGCTCTGGTCTGGCTACCAGACTCCCCTTTTCACCTAATGTCACCTGGACCCTACTCTCCAGCCACAATGGCCTCCCTCCCGCTAGTGCAGACCCATGGGGGTCTCTCTTTCTCTCTCTCACTTGCATTTTGTATCTGCCTGAAATGCTGCTGCCACCACCTCCTCCCGCGTCCCGTGGACTCAGTGCAAATGCCACCTCTTCCAGGATGCCTTCCCTGGCTTCCTAGCATGGGTAAATATTTGCAGAGTCTCTCGCCAGGCTTTAGTGCACCTCCATATTAATAGGTGTTTCCAAGGGGTGGAGAGAAGTAGCCATCTCCATAGCAATAGGTAATTACACGTGGGAGCGAGGGGATATTTGCACCTGCGAGGTGGGGTGGGGCCTTCTTCTTCTGCAGCTGGTGACCGAGAAGCACGCGCACGCAGAAGTGACAACTGCTTGTAAGCAATAAACGGGTTTCTCCCACATTTTTTCTCTCTTTGACCGATTTCGGTTCAAAGGTATTTTGCCCAGGGATGCGAAAATATTCCGCCCCCCCACCCCCCTGAGTTACACGAGCTAGGGAGCTTCCCCATCTCATAACCGGGGCACTCCTCTCACTGCACGCCTCCCCTTCTGAATCATCTCCCGCCAGGTCGCTTACTTGCTTCCGTCTGCCTGCACCTACTAGACTGTCAGCTCCCTGAAAGCTCTAGCTTTGTTTTGTTAACTGGTACATCCCATAACCTGGAGTGCTGCCCAGGCACTCACTACGTGCTCAGTAAAGGCTTATTAAAGGAAGAACCGAAAGATTTCATTTTGGTTTATGCGTTGACTTACATATTTTACAAGACTCTCTCTGCTCGCTTGTGGGAAGAACAGGATGTTTAGGGTGAGGTCATGGAAGGGAGATCTGGGGACAGGTGACTGCATGGGGCCAGGATCGGGGTGGTGGCAGTGGAGAGGGTCAGAAGTGGTCAGAAAGTTAGGATGGAGGAAGGACAAATAAGACAACTGAGGGAGAAGAAGGGAGAGAGGAGTCCATGACCTCTGGCTTTGCGAAACGGGTGGGGTGGAGACACAGGAGTGGATATGGGAAAAGAATCCAAGTTAATGTTTGGAATGCCTGATGGGACATTTCAGGGGAGAGGCCCAGCAGGCAATAATTATAGGTACAATAAAAATAACTGGCACACGAGCACTATGCTGACACTATTCATCACTCATGAAATATTTATTGAGCACTAGGGACTGAGCCGCGATTGCCACAAACAGGCTCTGTCCTCACGGGGCTGATGTTCTTTCTGCAGGCGGTGGACAGAGACTAAATAGATGAATAAAGAAATACACACTTTAATGTCAGGTAGTGGTAACCCCTACGGGACTGCGGGAGGGGTGGAAAAAAACAGGGAAAAGGGACAGAGAAGGGTGATCATGTTGGAGAGTTCGGCGCCCAGTAAGGATTTAAATTCTGTTAAAGACTTAATGACAAAGTGGGTGGCTGATTTAGCGTTTGTTTAGCGAAATGATCTAGGTGGGTTTCTTCCAGTTATAAAGAGGAAACTGAGGCAGAGGAGTATCTAATGAGTCACCAACGCAGGGATGAAAACTGCACCCGAGAGAGGAGAGGGGACCACCGGGTGGAATGGCCCCAGACAGAGGCCACCTGAAAACTGTCGTTTATCCGGATGAGGAAGGGGGCGCCAGAGCGGCGCGCGTTCCTATGACGTAATCCGGACATTAACTAGCGTATCATCACCTGGACTTACTCCCATTTCCTTTCCCGGACGGGTCCTCTGGTAGTCAGACGCGGTCTGAATCAAGCCTCTCATTGGCTGTTCCCTCGGTCAATCCGTTTCATTCTTCCAGTCTTCCGCCCCGCCTTCCTGAGCCTTGCCGCTGATAGGCTGATATAGCTGTCACTTCAGAAGGTCCGCATTCCTTCCGCCTTTCTCCAGGAGACCGAGGGCGAGGAAGGTGGATCCGAACTGGTTCCCACCCCTGGGGCTCTGCTTCTGCCTGTGACTGGCTTGCTCTGGGTGCCAGTCGCTAAGCCACCCGCTGCTGATTGGCCCTCTTGGCGCTGCTCTGCGCGGCGCAAGCTCCACCCCCGTCGGGTGTTTGTGGTGGGGCTGCGGTGTCGCTGATCCCGCCGGAAGCGCCAGGACAATGGGGACCCGGGACGACGAGTTCGACTACCTATTCAAAGGTGCGGTCGGTGGGGCACAGACGGGACAGAGGGCGGCGGCGGTGCGACAAGCAGGCGGACCGAGGCAACCCGGGGCCTGAGGCCCAGTGGGTCAGGCAGCTGGGGAAGCCGGGCAGGTTGGTCAGCTTGGGGCCGGAGTGCGCGGCCCTGCGGAGCGGGCGGCTCACAGAGGCCTGGGGACCCTGGACGCGTCGAGGCGGGGCCGGGGCCGAGAGAGGGTGGGGCCCAGAACGGTGGGAGAGGCCGTGAGGGGCGGGGCCTCATCAGGGGCCGGGCCTCACCTGCACTTGGTGGGCCGTGCGGAGTTGAAAGCTCTCGTAGGGGTCGGGACGGGGCGTGGTGGGCGTGTGCCAGACGTGGGCGCCGTGGGGCAGGTGGGAGCCGTGCTCTTCGCGGAGTGGGAGGAGCCAGTGCTGATTGGTGGCAGCGCGTCTATGGGAGAAGCTTGGGTGGGAGTGGCAGGCAATGGGATCCTGGATTGGGGTGTAGACCTGGAACTGCGCGGAGACGAGGCGGCGGGGACGGGGGCACAGAGCCGGGGAACTGGACCCAGGCCTAGTAGTTAATTATCTTTGAACAGTTATTTTTGAACTATTGGAATTCTTAATAGCCTCTCCTAAACACTTTACACACACGAATTCATTGAAATCCTCACTCTGCGAGGTCCGTATTATCCAAACTCTTTCTTTATGGCCCTGGAAGCTGAGGCCCAGAGAGACAGGACACAGTTGGTCAACGTAGGAGTGGGATTTGAATCCAGGCCAGTTGAGGGCTTTACCGCATAAGGGGTGTATCTTGGAGGGGGCTTGTGGCTGGGATCTGGGGCCGGGTCGTCGAACTGCCTGCTTCTCCCAGCACAGCTGCGCTGATGGCCCTCGTCCTTGCCAACCCGCTGGAAGATGTTCCCCTTCTGAGGGACAGGGGGATCTAGGAGCCTGGAGAGGCAGGTCAGGCAGTTGTTGGTGGCCTAGGGCCAGCGGGGTTGCTCCTGCACCCTGCCCCTCAAGCTGGGGAGACTCTCTCCATGTCGCAGGAGTCCTGGGATGATTTAGGGGTCACTGGCTTTCCCGGGCCTCCTGTGCCAAGCTCCACTGTACTGACTGGTTGACAGTGGCCACCCTTGAGAGCTGACCCCAGGGCCCATACGGGGCACCCTTACTCTGCTGCCTGCTGCATGAGGGTCTGCCCCTTAAACCAACTTCGAATTTTCCCTGCTTTGGGGGAGCCTGGGGACCATGGCTATGTGGAGAGTGGGGCGGAGTACTCCCTACCTGGGGTATCCATGTGGTGAGAGGCTTCTGGGAAGAGGGGGTGCCTGTGGAAAGATCCAGAGTCTCCACACAGCATCGTGGGCTCGGGGGGTCATGTACACTCATATCACTGGCAGGTGAGGCTGTGTTCTTGGTAGGCATCAGGCCAAGCCCCTGGTGCCTGCTGAGCCTTGACGTCACCGAGGCGGGTGAAGCTCTGCCAGGTCTCTGGAGACTGACAGTGGGTGGCCTGGACACCAGTCCTAAAGCGCCATGGGGCCTTGAGGCGGCTGCTTGCCACGTCCTGGCTGGGCGCCCACCTGGACGAGACACTGCCAGGCAGGGGGCACGCCCCCTGTGGCTACCTCCAGGTTTCTGTGGTCTTTCCCCACTTGTTACTTTCAACTGCTCCCAGTATAAATAACCCAGCTGCAAGTGTTTGTATGAGTCGTCTTTCGCCCTTTGGGTTATTTCCTTGAAGTGTGTTCCCAGAAGTACAGTTACTGGGCCAGGGGCAGCAGGGCAGCTGTGTACTTCCTGGAAACACGATCCCGCTTCTGCAGCGATCCTGCAGCGATCCGCACAGGGCGCTTGGGGGGTGGGGGCCGCCTGCCCGGCTGCTCTTCCCCACCGGCCTCCTTTTCTGAGTCTGAGCGGGTGCTCTGCTGACCTCAAGCTGCGTTGGAAGTATAAGTCGAGGAGCCCAGAACGTCCACACTTCCCAGAACGTCCACACTTCCCAGATCAGGCGTCTGAGACCTCACCTTCACACCCACACCTTGTTGGAGGAACACCCACTGTTTTCTTTCAACATTTGTCTTTAAATCCACTCAGTTTTTCCCTGGCTTACACGGGAAAAAGAAGCTGTATGTGGCTGTGGCAAATAAGGAAGAAAGGAAATGGGAAGGCAGGCCACTTGCATCTCACTTGCCACAAACGTGAAGGGTGGTCGGAGACACGAATGCGCTGCTCCCCAGAGCCCCGTGAGACCCTGTGGCCCAGGGGGTCAGGTCTGGGCATTTGAGAGGCCAAGACACGACCCTGCCAGAAGGGCTGGCAAAGGCCCCCCTTCTCAACCCTGCCGCCTGGAGGAGTGGGCAGCAGCCCCCAGCCTCCCCCAGGCGTCAGTCACCTTCCCCTGGCCCTGCCCTTGGCTCAGAGGCGCCAAGCCTCCACCTTGGGACAAGGGCTGCCCGCTGTCCAGCCCTCCCACCGCATCACTCATAGGCCCCCCTGACCTCCAACACCAAGGCCAACAGATTCCCCTGGGTGCTTTCCCCACGAGCTGTTTATTTTCCTCTCTGACGTCCCCTCCCCTAAAACGAGGTTGTTTGTTTGTACCTAATTATAGAGCCTCCCATTTATCCTGCTAACATTTCCTCCTCCAGCCCCGGGCCGTTTTCCCAGCCTGCCGGTCTGTCCCCAGGTCTGGCCCCCGCGGCATCCCCGCTCCTTTGATGGACCAGGCTGCAGGGTCCACGGGCAGGAGCCGAGTCCCCAGGGCTGCAGGCCTTCCCAGAGCCTTCAGCCACTCAGCTGGCCTGAGAGGACGGGGTTGAGGTGGGAAGCTGCTGTGGGGGCCTGGGGCCCTTTCCTCTGGGTGTGGGCACCCCTGCCCCACCTAGGGGTCCTTCCGGGAAAGGAGGTGGGGGAGAGGGGTAGCTGCCTCCCCGGAAGGGGCCAGCCTGTGCCTGCCCCTCCCCGCCAAGTTCCCCTGAGGCAGGTGCCTGGCTCTGCAGCCCAGGCAGGGACCCCCCCAGGCCCGCTCTCTTCACTCACGGCAGGTGGCGGCCCTGTCTGTGCCCTGGCTTTGGGCATCTGCCCTCTGCTCTCTGTCTCCCCAGGAAATAGCTGTGGGAGAGCCTGAGAGTCCGAGGACGGCCCCCGGGGTACCACACTGTTGAGGGGCCGGCTTGAGGACCCAGGTTTCCAGGAGGTGCCAGCTCTTTGTTTTTGTCAGCCGGGCTTGCCTGCTCTGCCAGCCGAGTGGAGTGTCCAGGGGGACTGTTTCTTGCCCAGTGATGCCACCAACTTCTGTGGAGATGCTGGGGGCCGTGTCCTCAAGGGCCCTTTATTCCCCCAAGACAGCAGATTGTGCCCTGGACAGAGCCATTCTCAGCCCCAGCTCGCCCACTGCCCTGCCAGCCATCCCCTGCGCTGGACACTGTGTGCCAGGACGGCCTGGGCAGCCGGGCCTTCCTGCTCTCGCCCTGCTCCGGCCTCTGCTCTCCTCACTAGCTGCTCTTGAGCCAGGAGACTTGAGCAGTCCCCCAGCTTGGTGACAAAGCCTTTAGGGCCAGGCCTAGTCTGAAGGGGCTGAGGAGATTCTTGGCTATGCCAAGGTAGAACCGATGAGGCTGAGGGGATCCCAAGGCTGTACTGCTGGGGTGGGGCTGGGAGAGGAGTTGAGGGGATGGGGGGACACAGTGCAGGGCCCAAAAGGGACCTTCCTCCTTGTATCCTCCTCTGTCCTCAGGGACGTGAGAACTAGAAGCAGATCTCCCCGGGCCTGGCCATGTTCCTGTGGCCGCCATGTGAAGGAGTTGGGGTGTGGGTGTCGGGCCTCACTGTTAGCCCAGTCTGGCCCCTCCAAGGCCCCACCAGCATGGTGGAGGCCCTGGCCTTGGGCTGAAGGCTTATGTCCATCTCCACCTCTTTCCACCTTTCTCTGAAATCAACTTAGTCTCGTGTGGGGCCCCGCTGTGTCACAAAGGGACACTGACCTCATTATCACAGGTCTCCTGGGCCAAGCCAGGTAATGGTTCGGAGGGGGAGAAGCCTGAATCCACGGGTTTTGAAGGATGAGTAGAAGTTTGTCATCTACTCCATGGGAACCCTCCAGGCGGTGAGAAAGGAGGAGTTAAACTGAACCCCTAGTGCAACCCCGGACCCAGAAAATAGATTCAGATCCTACTGGACAACTGTCCAGCCCAGTGGCCCTGGGCAAGGTGCTGCCCGGTGTGCGTGATTTCAAGGTGAAAGAGCGCCTGCAGATTTGCACAGGTCATCGCCCCTGCTTTGTGCCTTGGGCTCGTCATCCCCTTCTGTGCCTCAGTTTCATTATCTGTAAAATGGGTTCCATGAGGCTTGTGGGGGGTGATCCACGTCAGGGGCTCTCTCAGTTCAGGCCCATGTGACACTCTTGACAGAGGGTGCGGAGTGTGTGGGGCGGCCTCACCTGCGCTCCTCACCTGTGGTCAGGCATGGTGACCTGAACTTCGTCCAGGCGCCAGGGGAGGTGTGCAGCCGCCTTGGTGTTTGTTCCCCGGACAGACATTGGTCAGGTGCTTCTTGGGCCGGGCACCAGGCCAGGTCCCAATGCCCCCCTTGAGGCAGAAGGACAAACAATAAATAAATGAGTGTGGCCAGGGTGAGAGGGGTAAGAGCCGAGGGGAAGGGCCCAGGGCGGGGACGGGGAGTGTCCGGGCAGGGGCTTTAAGAGGATGAGAGGGGCGGCAGCACCCGGGCAGGTGCCTCCGAAGAACAATCCGGGCGAAGAGCAGCGTACGCCCGCATTTCTCTGAGTCCCCGCGAGGTGGCGTGTGTGGCGGGAGCAGAGAGAGCGAGGGAGGGCGAGCAGGCGGACAGGGCAGGGGGAGCCGGGGACAGTGGTGCAGGGTCTTGGGGGCCTTGGGGAGGACTTGGGCTCTGCCCCCAGGGAGGTGGGAGCCCTGGCGGCTGCGGCCCGAGGGGGGCCTACGCAGGTGCTCACCTGCGCCCTCTGGCGGCCTGGAGAACAGCCTGCTGGGTGGGGAAGAGGGCTGCCCAGGGGCGCGCTGGTGGAGGCAGGCGCCGCCCAGAGAGAGGCGACGGTGCCCGCGCCAGGGTGGGGCAGTGCAGGCGGTGAGAGGTGGCAGGATCTGGACACACGTAACATTTTTCACTGAGGGAAAGCTTTCCGTCGGGTCCCTGGGTCTTCCCACCAAGCCTGTAGCCCCATGGCTCTCCACGGGGCAGACCCACCCTTGGGTGCTGCACTCGAGGGTCCCTGTGGTTTCTGGCTGAGACGTCTGGCGAGATGGCAGGGGCTGTCCTGCATAGTGTACACCCGTGTGTGTGTGTGCGTGGGTTCCGGGTCTGAGGACAGGCCCCACCCCGGAGTCTGGGAGCTGACCCCTCAAGGCAGTGAGTGCTTCAGTGGGCGCCCCACCCCACCCCCCAGGGCTCTCTTATGCTGGCCCTGTGGATGGGTGGCGGCCTCCCGAGGGCACATTCCTGTTCTGCAGGGGGGGGCTGGGCCTGGGGCAGGCCTGTTTCTCACTCCCTGTTGCTTGGAGCTGTGCAGCTTATAGATAAGAAGCTGGAGGGAGGATAGTAATAACCCCTCTGCCACCTGTCTTAGGGCCTAGGTGCTGGCTGAGTTCTGACCCTGCACGTCCATGTGTCCCCCTCCCACGTGGCTCTTGTCTTGCCATATGTTTGAAAGAGGCAGCCCAGAGAGGTTAAGTGACTTGCCCACAGTCACCCAGCCCCAGAGCTTTCTCAGGCCACCAGGCTGTGCTGGAGGTTTGGGGTTGGTGGATCCCCAAGCTGCCTGCCCAGTGGGATTCGTGGCTGCCTGGGCCCCAGCTTGGGACAGGCGGAGGGCTGTGCTGTCTGCACTGGCTGTGCCCAGAAGCCCAGAGCCTCCATTCACTTCTTCCCCAGGAAACGTGCCTGTGGTGTCTGTACAGTGCCCGAGGCCCCACTGTGCTGTCCGTAGGGGTAGGTGGGTGCAGTGAGGGTCTTAGCTCGGGGGTGCTGGCCACTCTGGCCCAAGGAGCCTCACGTGTGCCCCTCCTGTCCCCACAGTGGTGCTCATTGGGGACTCGGGCGTGGGAAAGAGCAACCTGCTGTCCCGATTCACACGCAACGAGTTCAACCTGGAGAGCAAGAGCACCATCGGAGTGGAGTTCGCCACCCGCAGCATCCAGGTGGACAGCAAGACCATCAAGGCGCAGATCTGGGACACCGCCGGCCAGGAGCGCTACCGCGCCATCACCTCTGCGTGAGTGGTGGGCCCGGGGTGACGGGGGGAGGCCACGGGGCTGACGGACCGGAAAGAGGAGAAGGAGCCAGGGTGGAGGGATGAGACCCCAGGAGCTGGGGACAGTCGTGGCCATACCGTGACCCCAGACGGGCAGATCCCCTGGCCCCTCTGACCCCAGGAGTCCCCTGAGGCACTACTGTGGGCTGCTGGGTTCTGGCTGCAAGTGCGGGTTACCTGGGTCTGGAGTGGCCTGCGCACTCTGCCTGTCCCCCAGCCCTGCTGCTGCCCTGCCCAGCCACGTTCCCCGCATTCCTCTTCCCTCAGGCACACCTTGTCCTGCTCCCCATAACTCCCTGTGGCACCCATTCAGGACCCACTGGGGCTCCCTCTTCCAGACCCCAGACATTCCCATCAGTCACTTGCTGTCCTCTGGACTGCCTCCACTGAGGCCCGGCCACTGGCCATCTCCTTCAACCCCGGCGTGGACATGTGCCCCTCAGTCTCCTTGGGGGTTCACGTGGGCTGGCTACGGTGGGCGGCGGAGCCTGTCTGACAGTGGTCCTTTCCTCCTATCCTTTTGTGATTGACCTCATGGGCCCCGGGCCCCAAACTCCCTCTTTTGGCCCCCACATTCCTGAGCTGAATCTGTGGAACAGAGCCGGGGCCTCAGGGCACACACCCTTCCCTTGAAGCCATGGTCGCTGCCCCTGTGCTCGGTGCCGTGTGTGGGCCTCTGCGTGGAGCCCCGGCATGCAGCTCATGCCTGGGCCCCGCCTCCTCCTGTAGGTACTACCGTGGCGCTGTGGGCGCGCTGCTGGTGTATGACATCGCCAAGCACCTTACGTACGAGAACGTGGAGCGCTGGCTGAAGGAGCTGAGGGACCACGCCGACAGCAACATTGTCATCATGCTGGTGGGCAACAAGAGCGACCTGCGCCACCTCCGGGCCGTGCCCACAGACGAGGCCCGCGCCTTTGCGGGTGAGCGCCTGCCATCGGTGCAGGCAGGGGCGCGGCCAGGGGGCTGCTGGGATTCCGCTGTGGGGCAGCAGGACTGGGACGGAGGCAGCAGAGAAGCATCTGCAAGGCAGGCAGCCCACCCGGCCCTCCCATCTGCCCCGGCTACAACTGCCGCGCCGGCCGCCCCTCCCTGCAGTGTGGGTGTCTGGGTCCCACCCCTTGGCTCCAGGCATTCATTTCCTGGACAGGCAGGTGGGCAGGCAGGACGCCCACCAGGATTCTGGGAGCCCCTGCTCACTGGGGCAGTGTTCCCCTCTGTTCCAGAAAAGAACAACTTGTCATTCATTGAGACCTCAGCCTTGGACTCCACCAACGTAGAGGAAGCTTTCAAGAACATCCTCACAGGTGATCCCAGGACCTGG